ACCCTCAATATGTTGGCAATGTTTTGTTTTTTATTTTTCAAAAATTGTTTTAAAATTACCAAACCTTTTAATATATTGATAAAGTTTTTTTTTATTTTCAAAAATTATTTTTCTTAAAACTATTTTTGATTTTTAAATAAAAATTAAAAATAAACCTAAAATTTTTTGTTTGGTTCGACTTAGAAAACGGCTTAACTCATGACTAGTGTAGCGACTTGGTTTGGTTCAACTGCTCGACTTAACAGTAGCTCAACAAGCGATGGGTTTCAGGTCATATGCTATGGATCAGGTCAGTTGATGCTTAGAGAAATTGAGAATCATCATCAAATTTTGGAAGTATTGTTAGGATCCTCGTCGAGAACTTCAACATTCGATGAAAAATGTCATCGCAATTTGAAAATCTTACCAGAACTTAAGAATGTCACCTTAAAATCATCGGGAACTAAAAAAAACCTAAATTTTGAACTTGAACTATCTAAAAATTTTTTACTCTCAAATTCTTCTCTGTAATTATCGTGTCGTGTGTTGATTAATGATTTGGTATTTATAAGAGAAGAGTCTTGATTACAATAAGGTCATAAAAGATTAAATATCTAAAAAAACCTTCATTATCAACCAAAATTCATATATAATCCTAAAACATTTACTTAGAAAACAAAAAATTATCTTTAAGAATCCTAACCTAAATTCAACTTGTAAATTATCACTACTAATAAAGTTTTCAACATTAATCAAACATTCTATTTATTTTAATTTTCGTTTATTTTACTTTTTATCATAGAAAAAAATTAATAAGGAAAGATAAAATAATAAAAATAAAGATAAAGATAAATAAAATAAAAGTAAAGTAAAGATAACATAAAGATAATAAATAAATAAATAATAAAAATAAAGATAACATAAAGATATATAAAGTAGGAAAAAATGTAGCATAAAATAATGATAAATACAATGACAAAAGAAAAAATAAAAAAATAGACATTCGGACTTGAAACTACACCGAGCCTTATCTATTTAGACTCGAACTAAATAGAGTGTCTATACTTACCTCATCACTATTTTTATTCTCACTGAAATCAATTTTATTGCTTATTCAAATAAACCTTTAACAGGGGGAATGGCCATTCCATTCCCTATCTATTTTTTTGCTCAACAATGATTCAACAATTTGTTTGGTAAAATGGCGATTCCAAGGAATATCGACTCCCCTTCATTCATAGTTATCCCATAATAGCTATTTTTCACTAAGAGTTTAAGAATATATTTGATACACAAGATTATGATAGGATAAAATAAAATGATATTATGAATATGATTAGATTAAATAATGACATTCTTTCTTGTGCTTGACGTGTGCAAATATTTGGATAGGATAATTTATTTATTAGACAAAGTTATTATTCCTAAAAATTTATGCAATTTAAATTAATGATGTAATTTTTAAGAGTATAATAAGATATATAAGTTCAATTCTATGGATTAAAAATAATCCTCTTCACTTTGAGAGAATTGAATCATTCTATATTAAGAGGATGATTAATCCTCCTTATAATCCTATCATTTTCTTTAGATATAAACTAAACATAATATAAGATAATTATCATTTGATTTTATCCATCATCTTATGCATCAAATATCACTTAAAAAAAAACTATTTCGAGTAAATTTGCTCTTTCGATATAATAGAATCATGATTTTTTTGACTATTTTATTCTAGCATAATTTTTAAAATCTAGCCAAAAATGAGAAAGTTTTCAACCCAGCAATCAAAAAATTATTGATGATTAGAAATAGCCATAATTTTCTCCTAACCACTTTATTTCTAATAAGATCCTATGGTTCATAACATGAAAAGGTTGGCAAATGGTTAAGTGGCAACTGCTAGTTCTCATCAACAATGGCAAAAAAAGGTTCAAATGGTTAGATCAAATCCCCCAAAAGTTAGATCTTTGCAACACTGAATCAACAAGAATGCCACCAGATCTGATTGTCAAGGGATATAAATAGGTTGCTTGTAGCATATATAATTGCTAGCAACAATAGATAGGCTAATTGATGTTGAGTAAGGGTGATAACCATTTGAATTAAATTGGATTTAGTTCAATTGTTTGAATAATATATAGAATTATGAATTTTTTAAATTTGATCCGAATTTGAATTGAACTTTTATATTATTAGATTTGAATCAAATCGAATTATATTGATTCAGTTAATCGATTTTTAAAATTTTAAATTTTTATTTTTATATATTATTTTAATATGATTTATAATATATTTAAATATATTTAGGTATAAAATAATAATTTTTATTTTATAAAAATTTAAACTATATATAAAAGCTAATAAAAGTATATAATTCTGCTCAGTTCAATTTTTTTTATTTTTTACTTTTTGATTCAAAATCTAATTTAAGACTAATATATACATTTAATATTTGAATTTAATCTAAATCAAATAAGAAAAAATCGATCTAAATCGAATCAAACATTATAATTTTGAATCGATTTTTGATTTTTTGTTATTTTTTCTCACTCTTAACAATGAGATTTAATGTTTGATAGTGCCAATTAAAAGCTCTAGGGACTTGCTCGAGGCATAAGCATGGTTGAATTTCATTGTTGATGATTGTTTAAAGTCATAGAAAGGGAAAAACCAAAAAATAAGAAAGGAAGAAAAAAGAGAAAAATGTTACAAAGAAAAAAAAGAGAAAAACAGTTATGGAAATAATTAAATAAAATATATTTTAGTACAATAATGAAAAATATAATTAACTTTTTTTAAAATTAATTATAAATATTACTTTAATTAAAAGGTAAAATAGTATTTTGACACTTATTCTTTGTCTATTTGTTGATTAAATTTTAGGGAACTCTATTTGCATCCCATTTATTACTCTATGCATATAACTTCTAAATACACCTTAAATTTAAAACTCAATTTCTTATTTTCGCCAAATACACCCCCACCCCTCACTTTCTATTTTTCATTCTTACTCGTTCTCTCTTCTTTTTTCTTCACTTTTTGGAAATAAGTGAAATCGAGCTTTTTAGATATCCATTTCTGAGAAATTCGATTTCACTTTCGGAAGTGGATTTCTTATCTTTAATCATTAGAAACTTTAATTATGTAAATCCATGTCCTAAGAGCTATTCAAGAATGACTTAATTGAAAATATATGTGTTTATGGATCCATTTATTTAATTATATGTGCGAATAAAACTAAAATTGATGCTCTCAAGTATGCATGGTACAAACTTATTATTTCTTTTAAGACTCCAAAAAATTGGGAACATGTTTTTTTGGTTTTGCATTAGCTAAATTATATTTTTAGTTTTCTGGTTGTAAGACAAGAATATCTTTATACCCATACATACTTGAAAACTAACATATCTTTTTCATTTGCACAAATAATCAAATAAGAATGAGCACATCGATAACTCTAACCTTCCCACCTATGCTTGCTTGAGAACTTGTCTCCAATATTCTCACATTGTATTATTTATTTTAAGATTAAATATATTTATTTTATTATCTCGAATAAAATTATTTTATTTAAATTTAAATTTAATGTATTATTTATTTTAAAATTAAATATATTTATGTATTTTTTAAAATGAATTTTTAAGAATGCAATATCATTCTTGAAAATCTATTTTTGATAATTAAATTGCATTCTCAAAAATTCATTTATGAGAATGTAATATAATTCTTCTCATTGTTGAATTCAGAAAAAATAAGAAGAGCTGAGTGTAGAAAGGATTAAGGTTATTTTTGTTATTTATTAAAAACTAAAATTAATATTTGTTATGTGAATATTTTTTTAAAAAAATTAGAAGGTGCATAAAAAAATTTTGTGGTGTATTTAAAACACCCCTTAATTTTTTAATAAACAAACATCTTAATGCCATTATACTTTCATTTTATTTTATGAACCAAACTATAAAATAGTTATTACTCTCTTATATTACTCTCATGAAATAACCATTCTAAGAATTAAATGTACCGTTAGAGCTTTTTTTTTTTTTTTTTTTGTGAGATGAATGAGATTTTGGAAAACAGTAAGGTGATGATTGAAAAGAGGATACTGAGAGGAAGAAGGAAAATTTTTTTGGAGAAAAACAACTTTTGCAATTGGCGACTTGCAAGTAGTTAGCCACATTTTTTAAAAGTTTTTATTCTACTCTACTCTCCCTTGGATTTTGTTTGGTCTCAATAATTACAAGAATTTATTTTGGCTAAAGAGAAAATTATGCCTCAAAATTAAATAACCCTACAGTGTCGAAACGCTCTCATGCTGCTAGGCCAAATGTTTGGTACGGTTAGAATATGAAAATACGGAGAGGATTTTCTTACGAAAGAAAGGAAATTTAATTAAAAAAAAAAAGGCACACCCAACTTAAATCTAATGGACCCAATTGATTATCTTTGAGCGAAAGCCCATTTGAATAATAGCTTCAAACCCATTTTTGTGTTTTGTTGTTTATTTATTTATTTTTTGAAGTGTATCTTTTTTATTGCAAAATTTATTAAAAGTTGAGATAAAAAATCTACACCTGTACACGTATTTTCAATTTACATATATTAAGAAAATAAAGAAAACTATTAAGATATTAATATTGTTACTTCTTTTATAAACTAATTAAAATTTTAAAATATACATTTATTAAGCTTTTAACTAAAAACCGTTGCTATAATAATAATATTAAAAACATTTTTAATACTAATTCAAGAAAATATATATTTTTTAATAATTATCGATCCCGCGTAATGGGAGTGCGTTTTTAGTACTTAGTGATTGGTTGCTATTTTTTTTAAATAAAAAAAATAAAAAAAATAACAAAAGAATTTGCATTTCTTTTATGGACTTAAGTTTCCAGGTTAGTGTTGAACCCACGACTGATTGGGTCCAACGGGTCCCATGGAATGAAGCCCAATAAGATGTCCATAATGTTAAACAGTCATTTTAGATTGGCTTCCTCGGACTCAAAATGGTGCGACCGCTCACACGAGATCTCAGCTCCTTTCTTTCGAATTGGTTGCCTTGTCGCTGCATCTGATCCCACAGTAAAGATTTTAGCTTCTCCCTCCTTTTTCTCACTCAAAATCAAAATTTCTAGGGTTTTGTCCCAAATTCCCTGCTTTCCATGGCTTCTCATCCGCATCTGGACGATGTAAGTTTCTTCTTTCTAAATGTATTCCATTTTTAGGGTTTATAATTTCTTTTCTTTTTCCACTGATAAATTGGAGTCTTTTGGAGAATAGGATGACGATTTTGGCGGTGATTTTCCTGGGAGTCATAGTACCAGGCGCTCAGGTTAACCCAGTTTCTCTGTAACAAATCATTTGATTTTTTTTTTGTTTTTTAATTATTTGTTTAAATGATCAATTATGTCAATTTTTTTTCGTTGAAATACTTATTCAGATAATAAAAGAAGCTTTGGTGATCTTGAGGACGATGAGGATGATATTTTTGGATCAAAAAAGGTAGTAATATTTATTTCACCATTCTAACTAATCTCTGCAATATTATGTTTGTTTTTTTTTTTTTTTTTTTTTTTTTAAAATCAATGGAGTTCAAGGAAATTTTGGAACTTGGAACCCTAGTGCTGTAATTTGACATCCTTATCCCATCTAATTGCTACTCAATTATTACTTAAGCTTGAGAAGCCTTTTGTGGAGAAACAAAATTTATTAGTCACCATTCTGAACCTTTTTCTTTTTATATATATCTGAGGAATTTTGTCTGTTTGAATTACAGAGCAATTCTAAAGTAGAAGAAACTGCCCCTGGTGTTGCAACGGGGATGATTTTGTCACTTCGTGAGAGGTATAAAGCATAGAATGACATATAGCTAACAGATTATTATGTTTATGTACCTGCTTGTTTGCTTTCAATTTTCTACGTGACTTAGCTTCACCTTTTGTTGTGATTTTTTTTTCTTCCACCTTTTGCAGTCTTCAGAATTGTAAGGATACCCTTGCAACATGCCAAGTATGTGTCATCTATTATTTGATATCATCCGGTTGCTTCTTTGTTTAATCTTTATATGTGTAATATATAACATGTTGTACAATCACCTTCATACTTCAGATAATATGAGTGTAAGCATAAAAATTCTTCTTAACTAATAAAAAACAAAGTTTTATATGGAAGGTGGTCTATCCATAGGTTTTGCAAGGATTTATCTTTTTGGTTCCACAAATTTTCAACAAGGAATGTTTGTGGATGCTTTGCTGTGTTCCTTTATTGTTTTTGCTATAAGGTTTCTTTAATAGACTTTGAAGGTGTCTTTAGGACAGTAGCTATCATGTCCATATTACTGCTTTCTGTTGGTTTCAAATTTCAATTGATATTATATAGGCATTTGGTATTAGCAAAGTCCATAAATTTCATGGTTGAGGCATTTAATGCCATTTTCCTGAGATTTCACAGTATTATTCATAAAATGTGTTTTTTTTTTTTTTTTCTTTTCTATCCTTTTCCTTTTCTTATTTCAAATTGTTTGGATTATATGGTAATGATATTTTCTTTTTTAGACTGATCTTGAGGCTGCAAAATCAGAGATCCATAAATGGCATTCTGTTTTTCAGAATGAGCCCTTCATACCAGCTGGAACAACTCCTGGTTAGTCTTTTCTTAGAGTGTTTTCCATATTTATGTATCATATATTTAGACCGGTTGATTGCTTTTCCTGTTCAAGTCATTTTTTTTTTTTATTTTGATTTTTCATTTATGAGCACTTTATGTGTTCTTTCTTTATGAGGCAATTGTTTTGTACCATTTTCTGTAGAACCCAAGTTAGTTATAAGTTATCTTCAAACTCTGAAGTCCTCTGAGGAGGTGCTGAAAGAACAGGTAATAGCTTGATGTTGCTTATTTTCCCGCTATATTTTTCTGCATTAACTGCTTTGATCTGCCATGCAGAATTTCATACATGTTTTGTTCTTATTTTCAGCTAGAAAAAGCAAAGAAAAAAGAAGCTGCATATATTGTAACATTTGCAAAGCGTGAGCAGGAGATAGCTGAGTTGAAGGTGACATCTTTTTCTTTTGTGTTTTCCCTCCTTTGAGCACATATCTATATCTCGCATTGTTTAGCATGCAATTTTCTGTTCTATGTGGTTGAATATGTGAGAATGTAATAAAATTTTGAAGGATAGAAAGATAATAAAAAAGTCTATGAATGTGCTGTCATGATGGTTGTAAAAGGCTTGAGTTGCATTTTACTACAAGTATTGCTTGGTATTGAAGTGGCTCATCTTTTAGCTTCAAAATCTGCACCTTCAGGACTTACTGGTGAATCGTGATCCCAAGTGTTCCCTGCACTGCTTCCTTGTGGAAACTGCATGGTTTCTAATTTTGCCACTGTTGATTTTTCACCATGGCTTGTAGTTTCTGTTGATTGTCAACTTTGAGAGCTTCTACTCTTGCTCCATTAACCCAAGTGGAGTGACAATTCATCTTGGCTCATTTATATATAATTGTTTAAGATCACCCTTGTGGGAGTTTTTGTTGCCGTAGCTTGGGGTGAAGATTATCATGACCTAATATGTCTTTTCTAGTTCACAATTCTGGAATAACTTATGAGGGCACCTTCACCATTTTTTCTTACTTTTATACAAACATCTTGACCCTTTATTTGGTTATTTATTTGTATAAAGGATTATACCACTTAGTGCATTGATTACATGGACATGATTGTCTAATAGCATGGCCATCTAAGACCAAAATCTCTTTTAATTTCCAGTCAGCAGTTCGTGACTTGAAAGTTCAACTGAAGCCACCATCAATGCAGGTATTATATTGTGTTTATTTTTAAATGAATTTCTATTGCTAGATATTATAAATTTCTTAGCTTCTCTTGTTTTGTTTCTGTTTGTTGATGACATCAAAAAGAAAATTGCATAAAATGTGTTTCTTAAGCACTATAGACCAGATATACCATTTTCCCATATTTTATGTGTCCCAATAATCTGATGTTCTCATTATATCTAGCTGAGTCGATAGATGGTACTGTAACTTATCAAAAAAGAAAAAGTTTGATGGCACTGTGTTCATGGTGGTTCAAGACATATGTTTGGTACTCTATTGTTGAAGAAAATTGAATCTTTCCAAGAAGTAAAATAAATGCTTCCATATAGATAATGTCATAAATGCCTTTCTTTGCACTAATATTATTTTCTTCTTAAATTTGTTTACAGTGGGTGCTCTGATTTTCACTAAACACTCCCTTTGCCCCATAAATCGAGTTTGAGTTTGATTTTGTGGACTGTTTGAAAAAACTGTTTTCAACTTGTATCGAGTGCTCAACTTTGCACACTTTTCTTGATTTGACTGGGAAAAAGGTATAAAAAGCAGTGAAGGGTAATCTGGAAAATATTGGGTAATAATTTTACTTACTTTTCAAATGTGACTAATTTGGTAGGAATACGATTATAGCTATCGAAACAAGTCTGTTTTTAGGAAAAAGGGAGTATGACTTTTGACTATCATTTGTCTTAATGATTCCAAATTTCCAATCTAACCCCTCCCTCAGTAATTAGGTGAATTCTTGTTGCTAATAATTTCTGCGATGCAGAATTTGTTCTCTAATTTTTGGGCCTGATTTCATCAAATATCTGCTTCTCGTACTCCAAATTTTTTGGTCAGTTAATTGGAAATTTGTCAAACATGATTTAATAACATTTTTGTTATATGGCCTAGAACTAAATAGTAGTTGCACCTTGCTACCTGTTTAGTTTTCTTTCGGGTTTATTTTACAGGCCAGAAGGTTACTACTAGACCCTGCCATTCATGAGGAATTTACACGTTTGAAGGTTTGTGCTCAAATTTCCTTATTGCTTATTTTGTTATTAATTATATGCAGTGCAAGGATTTGTATTATTCTCTAAATGAGATGAGATGAATTTGGTGAGAGAGGAAGCATAAAGGGAGTGACATATTAATCTAGTGGGCATTGTATTATAAGTCATGGAAGGACTATAGTAATGTTACTCTTTGTAATGAATCTTAGGGCTTTGGGGGGAATTATGGTGGTCTGGACAACTTTACTAAGTAGGTGTTATAATTGATTAGGCCTGAAACTAGTTTGGTTTCTGTTTTTTCCTTTTAAACTTCATGCATATCCAAATTTTCTTGTTCGTCATTTCAGGGTGGTAATTGTATTACAAGTTTAAGAGTTAAAAAGTTGAGGCCAATAAGTTTAATCTGCTGTTAGATTCTGCCCTGTGCTTATTGATTAGCCATTCAGGGTTATTTTAATGTTATTATGCTACAATTTGGATGTGGAGATATATGCTGTTAAGTAATCCATTGTGCTTGTAGATCAGTTATTTATAGTTCTAATGTTATGATGATAGAATTTGGTTGAGGAAAAGGACAAGAAGGTTAAGGAGCTGCAGGAAAATATTGCTGCTGTTAGTTTTACTCCACAAAGCAAAATGGGAAAGATGCTGATGGCAAAGTGTAGAACCTTGCAAGAGGAAAATGAGGAGATTGGTAATCAAGCAGAGGAAGGAAAGGTATCACAGTTATATATGCATTGTTTTTTTTTTTGGGTGCATGCTATTTTATGTGTTTAAGCATGTATGATGCTAGCTCGCTACCGAAAATTAGGCAGTGGGGCATGGATGGATTTTGAAAATTTTTGGCAGCATTATAAAGCATCTTTGTGCTTTAAACATGAAAGAATCCTGAAATAGAAAGAAATGTCTTTCAATGCTGAATGTGATTCAATTATGTTGAGATTTTGAACTGTTATTTATGCTGATTTTACTGATATTTTGTTGGACTCTTCTTTGCAGATGCATGAATTGGCCATGAAACTTGCATTACAAAAATCTCAAAATGCAGAACTAAGAAGTCAATTTGAAGGTCCGTGTTAATAAGTTTATGAATTTAAGGTTGAATGAATCAGATTATGGATGTCTAACTTTAGTGAGAACTTGAATATGTTCTTTGCCATTTTTAAAACGAAGTTGTTATTCCATGGTTGAAAATTTTTGGTTCATGTCATCTTGATCAATATTGTTGTGTTGCTTGCAGCACTATACAAACAAATGGAGGGGCTAACCAATGATGCAGAAAGATCAAATGAAACGGTTTTTATCTCTCATCTTTAATCTTTTCTTTTTAAAGTGAATCATCATATACCATGAAATGAGGAACAGATGGAAATTTGACTTTAGAGATTTGGTGTCCTTAGAGGGTATTTTGAGTAATATCTGCAATATTAGGATTATCCGTTCTATTTTGCCCTTGTTGTAGTGGAACTGCCATTTCTATGTCAGAAGACTCCCACATAACCATCATGCTGAGTTCTATGTGCTCTATTTCCACACTTTTTCTTTTAACACAAATTAGTCTCATTTACATGAACGTGGATCCTATCTGGCTACTCGTGATAATTGACATTTGCATTGAAGAAGCTAAACATGTGTGGAATAGGATCACTTCTATAGCCTGTGTCTTCGATATTTTACTAACTCTGCCGTGGAGTGGGAAAGAAAAAGAATTTATGGAAGGAAAATGAACTTTTAACATACCATGGTTCACTGTACATCATCTTGGGTTTTGGCTTTTGGAAATTCTTTCCTTATTGAGAATGCATAAATAGGCTATGTTCTCTTAAGTAGCCACACTTTTCTGGATCCCCCAAAAACTGTCTGTCTACAAAATTGAAGTCTTGGCTTTGATAATTGTCACCAAGCAGATGGCATCTACTGACTCATTTGATTTATAAGAATTCTACTTTGAGTATATCATTATTCAAATTATAATCTTTATAATATTTAGTTATCTGTAACATAATTAAATTACAATGTTGGAGGAAATCCCTTTCTTGAAGGCCAAATGCAAGCTTGTATGTATCCAAATCTGGACAACAAAATTGCAGCTGCATATAGATATTATGAATTGCTGCAAGTTCTGGTATGTGAATATATAATTTATATAATATATATATATATATATATATATCTACAAAACTCAAACTACCTAGCAAGATGATGAGTCAACTGATTCTCATCCCTTTTTAACTGATGGAGGCATAGGTACATGAGGTTAGATGTTTCATGGTCTATTATATTTTAGAAAATGCTAAAAGGCTTTATTACATCTGCCTTTTAGTTGGCAGATCATGTTCAATTAGACCAGTGCGAATATTACTACTAGTATTTTGCCATGATAGCCTAATCATTTCATATCAGTTATAATTACATAGCCTTATCACTTCATAGCAGTTATAATTACTTAGGCAAGTCATTAATTAGGTCAGATTGTATTGCAGGTATATATCTTGCAAGAGAAACTAGAAGCGAAAGACAATGAGATTAAAAGGCTGAAGCTGGAGCTGCACCAGAAGACTCGGATGGAAGAGGATAACAAGGCAGATTTAGCCCTTGATACGAGTAAGGTTAAAGATGAGATGATAACTGATGAAACCGCAACAACGAACGAGTAGATTGAGAAGTTTTGTAGGATGTCATTATTTTCACCCCAATTTTTGTTTGTACATTGTACATTAAGTAGATTTTTTTTAATTGTTAATAAATTTTGAAACACATTAGTCTTGTGGAATTGCACTATAGTGCAAGTCCATAGTGGACCAAGGATGAGGTAAAACTCAACCCTCTCTGTGATGTAGAGAGCATCATGTTGTTGCTTTGTCAATTTTTTTCATGTGTGGCCTTGATAATTGTTTAGGAAAATTTGGTACTTCTGACAACTGCTGTCCAGTTTATTCTTGCTTTGGCCTCACATATGGGAGAAAATATAGTATCTTTTGTTTAATAATTTAGCTATTTGTATTTTACTTTTTTGGCAAAAATTTATAAAGGGCAAAAGTTAAAAGATATACAGCTATAGTATGAATTAAGTGAACTTTATTTATTTATTTATTTTTTGATAGAAGGAATTGGAACATAGCCCAAGCCAAATCCAGTTCAAGTCGGATTGGATTTGGATTGGATTGTTGTTTATGGGTCAAGTTAAGTTCGTGTTGGATGAGTTGGATTGAATTTGAGTGGGGTTTAGGTTATTAGGTATTTCAGGTCGGATGAGTTGGGTCAGAGTTGGATTACGTTAGGATGTTGTTTATGGGTCAAGCTAAGTTTGAGTGGGATGAGTTGGATTGAATTTGACTTGAGTTTCGGTTATTAGTTATTTAATATCAGATGAGTTGAATTGGATTTAAATTGGGTGAAATTTATTTATGGATCAAACTAAGTTCCAGTTATATTGAATTGAGATGGATTTGAATTATTAAGTAATAGGTATGATATTGATAATTTATATATTTATTCAGGTTTATTTAATTAATAAATGATATAGTCCAAGTTTATTCAAACTTGTTTAAATAATTTTTTTTCAAAAATTAAAAATGGATTTTTTAATTTAATTTTTAATATTTAATTTTTCTGTTCTTATAGTTCAAAACATAAATAATTTAATATATTTTCTAATGTTTAGATTATAATAATATTTATTTATTTTTATGTTATAAATTATGTAATATATATAAATATAAAAATAATATATATTATATAATCATTGGATCGGATCGGACCTTAAATGTTGAGCCCATATTCAATTTGTGTAAAAACCCATATCATATTTGTTTAAGCACGTTAACAAACATAAAATTTTTGTTAAGTCTTCACAGGTGTTAGACGAATCTTTAAGCTTGCATGATAGTCCAACGCTTTTGATAGGCTTACTCTTATCTCTAAATATTTTTTAGGCTGCTAGGATTTGAATATTAAACACTGGAATTAAAAGTTTAATAATGTCAAAAAGTGCTGTAGGGCAGAGTTAAAATCTCAATTCCCTGGTATATGCCAACTAATCGCCCATCTAGCATCATTATGTGTTAACTTAGCACGTTTTATTAACGTACAAACACTTAATCAACTAACACTCTTTAATTAGAAGAAATGAGACGACAATCAGGCATCGGCAATATAATGAGTCCGTCAAGGCTTCTACTTTGTGCAGAATAAAATAGCTTGCTAACTGGAATCCTGCACTGAGACACATTGGTTCTCATAAAAAGGGATTAGCACCCCATTATGGTCCAAAAGTAATGCGACAATTACTGATGCCTTCTATCATGACCTACCAACTATAGTCCTCTGACTCACATGCCACTTGATACCAGGAAAATGATGCAACTCCTAGTATTGACATACTATCATAAGGAAAAACAAGAAGAGAGATATAGAAAGAGAGTCTAAGAAGATCGATGCCCTTTATTGCAAAGTTTACAGCTTGTTGCTCATTCAGATTCTTACTTATCTCTTTCGGATCTGCTTTTTTTAGTTCAAATCATCTTTATCTTTTGCTGTTTGCAGGAAACTTCTTATCACAAAAAGTTTACATTTTTTACAGAGGTCTATTTTTTCAGATGACCCTCAAAGGAATCTGCTTTTTCAGATGAAATCCTTCCTCACCTTCAGAGGTCAAGTCTGGCGAAAAAGTCATAAAGGCTTGGGTTTTTATATATTTCAATTGCGTATTACGATTCTTCTTTATCTTCATTTGCTGAAAGAATGTCAGGTCCACTAAAATGTTTTTCTTAACTTCCCAAATTCAATATTGTTGATTTTTTTTTATTGATAGCCTTATTGCTAGTAATAATAATTTGAATATAAACATAATATTCATCTTGTTTTACCATATCAAACATTTTTTATCGGATAAAAACAAAAACTTTTTTTAATAATTCAAAGGAAATATTTTCAACCACAATTTCGTCAATATAATCTTATTCAATTATGATTATATTGAATAGTTCATGATTAAATTTAAATTTAAATTTTAATATATTTTTTTAAATATCATTTTCAATGAGATAGGCTCGATGAAAATATTACTAAAATGTATTTAAAAAAAAACTTCATTTTGCCTATTAGTATTTTTGAAATATTTTAAAAAATTTCAATAAGCAAAACTTTATGAGTTTTGTCAAATAATTAATTTTGTTGTACTTTAACTAAATAGGACAATATGTTTTTCATCTAAGAATTTGTAAATATTAAAAAAAATTGATTATTTTCTCGATCTTAAAATTTTTTTGCTCATCTCACTTTCGTAAAATAAAACCTTTTAAAATAAGATTTTGAAATTTCTTTTTATAATGAGCTTGTTTACCCAATGATTCAAAAAATTTGTCAGATTTTCTTCTAAACGCTAACATGTAAAATTTTCAAAATTCATTAACGTGAAAATACAATCAAGAAGATAATCATAGATTCTAAAAATCTTTTATAGTTTCGATTTGTTGTGACTTCAATAATAATTATGTTTTTTTTAATAATCTTATTGTAAGAAATTAGAATAAAAATAATATCTTGATATCATTGTGAGAATTAATACGGTTCCATTATTGCTTGAGGTAAAATTTATACTACCCTATATAAAAAGAATTTTCAAGGATTATCAAATTTACACCAGTTCGGTTTTTCTTTTCTTTCCATAGGTTTTTTCCTTTCCACGATTTTGATGATTGAGCAAAAATGGAGACAAATTGTTACCAACAAAATCTCACTCACCTATTCCTTTACTGACGTTCTCCCATTCTCTTTTTCATTCACCAAAAGTTTCTCTTTTTCATATTTTACCTTTTCCTTATTTTCTTAAGAAAGAATGAATCATTTGAGAGAATAATGATTTATTGTTGTTTGCTGTAGGTGAAGGCAGTGTTGTGGAGAAGCAGTTAATAAGCAGACAAAGAAGAGTGTAGTAGGAAATTGTATGTATTTTGCTTAGAGAGAGTAATGGTGGTGCAAAACTCAAAGAGTTTGTGTGCATTTTGCTTCTTTTCTTTTGGTTTTTGTTTTCATTTTTTATGTTTTTTTAGATTTTTTTTTGGTTCTTTAGTTAAATATGGGTTTTATTTTGTTTCTTTTTTTATTTTAAGATGATTTTGCATTACAGACTTTGATTTTTTGGGGCGATTTTGTTATTGAAGAAATTTTTTAATCGATGTTATGTTCTTTTGGTCTTTAATTTGTTTAAAATGTTTGTTGTGAAGTTTGCATATATATTTTTTTAAGTTCAATTTGCATGTTGCATAAATATAGTAATTAGAAGAAAAAACTAGAACTATGAAAAGGAATCGTGGAGTTTTTGGATTATATTTTTTCATTAAGTTTATTTTATAACTCTTATATAGATACAATGATATAGGCACCAAGACCATTCAAAATAAGCTTAGTCAAAAAAGCATCACGAGAAGTTCCTAACATTGCAGTAAAATAGGCTTTGATTGCTCACTCACAACGAATTATGAAGAGCCTTAAAAACTTCTTGAACATGCTGAAAGCAAATTATGTTAGTTAAATATTTTACTTTTCCCATTTTGTTTTATATTTATTCTTTTTATGTTTATGCATAACGCTTACTCTTGTATTCCAAATCGAACTTAGTTCTTTTGATCCATCTTCAGGTTAGGTTTAAATAAGTTGGAAAGAGGGGAAAGAGTAAAAATGCTATCATTCACTATGTATGTTTTAGACACCTTTTACCTAAAAATTAATGTTGTTTGATTCCTTTACAAGTACTTCCATTCTTAGTTCATAAGGTGTTTACACAAATATTCTCATTCAATGTTAAACTATTCAATAGGTAAGAGTCCATATTGCTATTTAGTGCTTTATACTTCATTTTTTTTGCTATATGTAAAAAAATTTTGATTTGGTATTTGAATACACTATTCTATTATAGCCTTTTGTTGAGAAGAAAGTGCTATTCATTCAATAATGGTGAATATGTTAAAGTTGGATTGGTTGATTCAGAACAAATGGTGTAACAAGGTAACTTATGAGGTACCTTTGACTGTCTCTTATTTCACTTTTTGATTTTAGGATATGTACTTACAAAGTTTAAAAGGTATATCAATGTAATATGCAGGTTATGCAAAAAAGAAGATTAACTAAATTTATAGTGTTTTGGTTGAAGTTTATAATGATTTAATAGATTATTTGATCAATATTGGAATGTTTATTGCAACTATAATGAAAGTATAAAATAATAGAGCCTTTAGGAGTTCAATGTTTTGTTTGAGAAATGAAACCACAGTTTATGTTTTCACCATAATTTCAATAAACATTTCAAACCAAACAACACAATCAAATGGTGAAAACATTCCAAACCATAATGTACAAGGATTAGCATAGTTCACATGTAAAATTCTAGCTGTATCATGTATTAATAGGTTGAAATATTATTATGAACCACAATATTAGTGCAATCAAAGATCATCAACCAAGTTAAAAAATAAGACTCTTTTACATAAGTTATTGGATTAAAGTTGCAGACATGTAGATTTACACTAAAGTATGTCATGCACATTTTATTTGATCAAAGAAAAAAAAATAAAGCAAAAATTAATTGAACTTCAAGACAAATGAATTCATACTTATTTATCAGTTTTAACAACTTTCATATCAGTTAGATACGCACTTGCTATCTATTGTTCAGAAGAACTTGATATAACTAATTACTTCCTTTGCAAAAAAGATATGCAACATAATGGACAAGCTAACAAATAAGTCATTACATTATTACTTACTAGGTTTCTTATAGTTTGACAAGTAAATCTATTGGACAAGTTGATGGATAAGAAAGTTACTTATTAAGCTTATAGTTTCAAATGTCATGACTTATGAGAATATAACAGATTGATAAGTTACTGATGCCATGAAAATTATCGTATATGTTTATTAAGATTACAAAAACACCTATAGTGGAAGAACTATTAACCAAAGAGTCTTATGCAAATAGTAACAAG